CAACAGCCATGACCACGAATACGAACTCGACCGCCTGCCCCTGCCTCTATCACTCTCATCCTAGCCCTAGCGGAGGTAAGCAGCACAAGTTCGCGTCAACAGGAACCAAGGCCACGACCACCGACGACGACCACGACGACGACGCCGCGGAGGAGGAGGCAGTACGGTACGGTACGGTAGGAGGAGCCGACGGCGGACGGGCACAACCGTGACCAGGAGGAGGTGGAGGAGGAGGAGAGGGAGGAGGAGGAATGGACTCACATCAGCAACAGACGAGAAGATTTCCTTGATGCATTCCTTCCTCTCAGCAAGACTTCGCGCCTCCTCCTCCGCCCTTTCCTCGAACAGGCTCCGCCTGCTCACCACAGCCCCAGGCTCGAAGATGCTCTCCTCTTCCTCTACCTCCTCCTCCCCTTCCTCTTTCCCTTCGTTCTCCTCCTTGCTCCTCTCCTCCCTTCCTCCCCAACCCGATCTTCTCCCCCTCACATCCGCCAGGACTTTCTTGAGAGCGATCGAAGCTTTCGTGATCCCTGCTACCTTCACCGCGAGTCTCGGCTCCCCGACGGAGGAGGAGGAGCTCTCCTGGCTCGCCGTCCTCTCCCCTTCCCGCGCTTCCATTACCCACCTCCTCCCCTGGTTTCCCACGTCTCCTCCTCTCTTGCTCGTCGGCAGCGGCCCGACCCTCTGCTGGAGGTTGCGCAGGAGCGCGCTTCCCACCTCCTCCAGCAGGGGGTTCAGCTCCTTCCAGCTGACCACCTGGCCTGTCCCCAGCTGACGTGAGAAGATCTCGATGGCCTCGCATCGGGGGAGGGAGCCGAGGAGGCTCTCGCTGATCCCGATCCCGTCGCTCCTCTTGGAGCTCAGGGGGTCCAGCACCCGCGACTTCTCCAGCAGGAGGAGGAACTGGTTCAGCTCTAGCCCAGCTCGAGGAGGCTCCCGCTGGTTCTGCTGGATGTCCTGCAGGGGGGTCCGCCTGCCTGCCTCCCCAGCCTTCATCCTGCCCAGCTGCACCTGAACTTCGCGCCTCCACGCCTCCAGCTCCCGCATTGCCCTCGGCTTGTACTGGACAGGAGCTGGCAGATGTGCTCTTGCCTCCTCCTTTGTCCTCCCCGTGTCGCTGAATCGCTTCTGGACGGGGGAGCACTTGACGCTCAGGAGGAGGAGGCCGTTGGGGTTGACGTCAGCATACCCGCTGGAGAGCACGTCCTCGGAGCCCTCGAGCTTCCTGCGCAGACAATGAGGAGGGAGGATGAGGTGAGGGGCAGAAGGCGAGGAGGGGATGAAAGAGAAACTGAGAGGTAGGAGCACACGACGATAAGGCGGAGAGGAGAGAGGAGAGGA